GTCAGGGCCAGCAAAGCCTTTTCAACTGGCAGAAGGTCTTGAAATAACATTTTCTCCTTTCTTGTTTATCTTTATTTGCTAATGATTTGTTTTTTCTTTCATTGTTTTTATCTTCTGAATCATTTGTACATATTAAGTTCATATTAAGGTTGATTGAGATCGCTGTGTATAATTAGCGAATAAAAATGCGCTAGCACATGAGCGACGCGTTTTGATGCTGTGTCGAGTTAAAACTTCAAAACTTTCTTTTGTCAGAGTTATTTGTTTTCATGCTAAAAATACTCTCCAGCTGTGTTTTCTTCATGAAATATTGGTGAAAGTTTGCTTGAATTGAGAACGCATTGATGTCCTGTACGGAAGAAACAAGCACATCCTTTTAAGCGGCTACAGGACAGTTTGAGATATGAAAAATTCATAACCTGACCATCTGCAGTATGTACTGAACAACACCCTGTTCAAGCTGGTTTATTCATGCTGCTTTAACTACTGTTGCTGCAATGAGATATTGATTTGTTAAGATTTTTATGTAAATATCTCACTCAACTGCAACATTTTTCTTTTCTTCAAGCATATTTTTCTCAGCTTTGTGTCCTGTATACTTTTTCATTTTCAGTCATTCGCAGTATAGTACACAAGGCAGCACATCATTCAGTCCTAACGCTGCATTCGATAAGTAGAAAGGCTACAAACCAATTACTCAGCAAGCGGGGAAGAGAAACAACCAAAGCTGTCTCGCAGTGCAGTGATAAGGATAGTACTTATCACAGCCAAGCATACAGCAAAAAGACCTGGCTGAAAATGGTCTGTGTTGTTCCAAACTCTCAGGAAAATGATCTTTTAGTTCTTTCTTCATCCTTCAACCCACTGTCAATCCTCGAGATGGCAGGCTTTTATTCTTTTCCCATACAGTTAAACAACAGTCTTCATTCTATAAGTATGATAATAACAGAGGCCTATAATGGCTACCTGGGAATGATAGAAAGTATATAGAGTGTTTAAACTGTCAAGAAGGGAGTGAACGTAAAGAAAAGTGAAGAGGGAGTGAAGTTTGGATGGGAGAAAGAAAAGGCCATCTTTCACAAATAAAGGCTTTCTGTTTTTGTGACATTTGAGTCATGGGTCTAATACACATGTTAGCAAATGTGGAAGTAAAAACATTTCACAATCACTCAGTAAAGGAGGTGTATATTAATGCGCTCCACAACTTAATTTAAAGGAATAGTTCAACCACAAATGAAAACTTGCTGTAAATTTTCTTACCCTTAGGCCATCTAAGATGTAAATGAGTTTGTTTCTTCATCTGAACAAATTTGGAAAAATGTAGCATTACATCACTCGCTCAACATTGGTCCTCTGCAGTGAATGGGTGCCATCAGAATGAGAGTTCAAACAGCTGATGAAAACATCACAATAATCCATAACATGACTGCAGTCCATCAATAACGTCTTGTGAAGTGAAAGGCTGTTTGTTTGTAAGAAACAAATTCCTAATTATGGCATTTTAAAGGGTTAGTTCACCCAAAAATGTACAAAAATTCTGTCATTAATTACTCACCATGTTGTTCCAAACCCGTAAGACCTTCGTTCATCTTCAGAACACAATTTAAGATATTTCTGATGAAATCTGAGGGCTCTCTGACCCTTCCATAGACGACAGTACCATGACGCGATTGTGTGGCGGATACACACGTTAGCAAATGTGGAAGTAAAAACATTTCACAATCACTCAGTAAAGGAGGTGTATATTAATGCGCTCCACAGCTTAATTTAAAGGAATAGTTCAACCACAAATGAAAACTTGCTGTAAATTTTCTTACCCTAAGGCCATCTAAGATGTAAATGAGTTTGTTTCTTCATCTGAACAAATTTGGAAAAATGTAGCATTACATCACTCGCTCAACATTGGTCATCTGCAGTGAATGGGTGCCATCAGAATGAGAGTTCAAACAGCTGATGAAAACATCACAATAATCCATAACATGACTGCAGTCCATCAATAACGTCTTGTGAAGTGAAAGGCTGTTTGTTTGTAAGAAACAAATTCCTAATTATGGCATTTTAAAGGGTTAGTTCACCCAAAAATGTACAAAAATTCTGTCATTAATTACTCACCATGTTGTTCCAAACCCGTAAGACCTTCGTTCATCTTCAGAACACAATTTAAGATATTTCTGATGAAATCTGAGGGCTCTCTGACCCTTCCATAGACGACAGTACCATGACGCGATTGTGTGGCGGCGCTGCCACACAATCGCGTCATGGTACTGTCGTGAACGTGCGTCCAAAGTGACCAGTAGAGACGAAAATGTGGATTAAAACTTTGTTTTCTTTGTGCAAAAAAGTATTCTCATAGCTTCGTAACTTTACAGTTGAACCACTGATGTCACATCCAAAGTGACCAGTAGAGACGAAAATGTGGATTAAAACTTTTTGTTTTCTTTGTGCAGAAAAAGTATTCTCATAGCTTCGTAACTTTACAGTTGAACCACTGATGTCACACGGACTACTTTGTCGATCATCTTGGTACTTTTCTGGACCTTGAACGTGGTAGTTACCTTGCTGTCTATGGGAGGGTCAGAGAGACCTCATATTTCATTAAAAATATCTTAAATTGTGTTCCGAAGATGAACGAAGGTCTTACAGGTTTCGAACAACACGAGGGTGAGCAATTAATGACACAATTTTCATTTTTGGGTGAACTAACCCTTTAACTTGTTTAACTTGCATTTTGCTTGTAAATGGTGCTTGATCTCTGAATATTTCTCTCCCGATTCAGATGAGAAGACTTTTTCACTGGAGCAAGCAATATTACGGATAAAGGACTTGTAGCCAGAAGTAACAGTTTGAAATTAAAAACATCTTAATATAATGGATTTGTTTCTTACTAACATGCAGCTTTTCACAAGAGGTTAATTACTGGACTGGAGTCGGCTCCCATTCTGATGGCACCCATTTAATGCAGAGGATCCATTGGTAAGCAAGTGATGTAATGCTAAATTTCTCCAAATCTGTTCTGATGAAGAAACAAAAGGGTGGCCTGAGGGTGAGTAAATTCTCAGCATATTTTTATTTTTGGCTGAATTATTCCTTTAAAGGGATAGTTCAGACATTTATTCACCCATGTTCTATTCTGTATGAATTTCTTTGTTCCATAGAACACAAAAAGAAACTTATTTAATACATATGTGGAATGTATTGAATTCCTCCTTTTGTTTTACAGATGAAAAACATCAAACAGACACAAGGGTGAGTAAAATATACCACCATTTTCATTTTTGGGTGAACTCTCTCTTTAAATCACTTTAAATTTTTGATTTTGTAGATGTATCACGTATGAAGTGTTTACTCACGTAGTCCCTAAGATGGAGTAGCCTAACTCATATTCCTCACTGATGTGTGAAATAACAATTAAGATCCATAAATGACTGAAATTTAATTTGTGTATGAAAATGTTGTTGCTCATTCACTTGTGGCAATAATTATAAAACTAATTGCGATATTAACAAAGCATTATTACAAGAATATCTGCCTGGGGAAAATACATTCATATTTTTTATCCCAGCGCTTTGGTGTTTTGATAAGATGTGAATCATCAACAGAGTTTGATCAACAGAGAGCGTAGAATTTTATTAGTTTTGCAGGCACTGTTACTCACAGTGTTCAAAGCTACAAAAACAAATGAACACGTAAAAGGCATGAAGGTTAGCACTTACAGAAGACACAACGACAACACCTAGAACGAGAGGAGAGCAGAGATGTACGGTGAGGGATGGAGTTTGTTCTGAAAAACCTCTCACGTACAGACACACATGCACACGCTCACTGATACATGAAGGTCACTTATCTGTATTATTAAGAGTGTGAAACAGATTAAGTTTAATAGATATTCTCGCCATAACAATCTATGTATATGCAGAAATATAAATAGGTTATCTTTTGGTATATTTTTATTTGTATTATCATCTGGTTGTTGCATGAGTCTGAAACTGTGAGGCTGTCATTAAGAAAGACAATAGTATAGAATATATTAAGCTACAGGGCACAACACAGTACATAACAGATGTTCAGAAAGGGAGACAACAGATCAAGATAACACCCAGCAAAAGACAAACCGCATGGAAGGATAAAAAAACAAACAAGCAACAGCCGAAAGCACAACAGGAGAATGAGAAAAACACTTGTACATTATGTGTACAGATGTTTTGAGACATCTGTACACATTTTGCTCGCACGCTCTGTTCATCTGTTTCTCAAATAGAATAGGACTCTGAGATCAGATTTAACCTAATAAGACAAATCCATATTAAATGGCCTTTTGATTTAGACTATTACCAGTAGAGAAGGCATCCATGGTTTGTGTTGCGGTTGAAAACTGTTCATTTTCAGATGTCGCGGTTTTGAGACTGCGATGGGTCTGTCTAAAGCTCTTCTGCTGAAGTCCATCAGACCCGTTTCCAAATATGGGTTGATTAGCCGTAGGAGCTCAGATGAGTCATGCAATTACACTGACAGAAATCTAGCCATTCGCGAGGAGAGATGAAATGCCATCTTGAATATGAAAGAGTGATATTAACTCTAATTTGTACTAAAGGACACTGAACATTTGTGAATGGTAAAGGCTGCTCTATTCCTTTTGTTTGATATATAATAAAATTACACGTGAAACCTTTTATCTTGGTCACACTGGCATTTGTTTGTGTCATCTATTGCAGAGACAGCTTATTAGTTCAAGTCAAGAACATTTCACAGTATCATTATAGGCTAATTCCAAGTGGGTATCCTGGGTAATTCTTGAGCAGAACAAAATTCTATTCATGTAACCTTAAGATATCTATGCTTTGGTTTGTTTAGTAATGCAGGTAATTCACACAGAAATATAGCTATTTTAAGCTTGAAATAAAAACATTCTGATAGATTAACATGTAAATATTAGTTTTCTAATGTGTTTTTCTTTTCTCTTGGAAAATTTGTATCAGAAGCAACTAATATATCTACTTTTCATTGCAAATAATAATATTTAGCTTCAGCCAGAGAGATAATAACCTGAAGGTCTGTCATCGTTGCAATAGTGATGTTAACATGATGCTAATATCGCAGTAAAAAAATGTTTTAGGTGCTTTTAAGAGATCATTTTAAACTAGGCAAGGTTTGATATGGCCCACATAACTGATGAAAACCCAAACTTTTAGCATTTCCTTCTCAAGAACCGAGATTGCTGGTAATATTCAGTTGGCATCAGCGCAGAATCACATTTATCGTCCTTCTAAGATTCAAATCCTTCAATAAATAATTACCAGGTACAATTAAAGATACATCAAGTAATAATACATCCAAATCAAGCCTCACGCCTCCACTTCTCTCAAAGATTTATGCTGCCAGATTTAGCAGATGAGAATTTACAGAAGATTTGCAAATATTACTAGAGTCCCTCTCCAACTTGCCCAGTATCTTTAAAGATACAGATATCCAATCCAGTAGACAAGGTTAAAGAGGCCAAAGGCAGTTGGGAAGAATATTCGGGAGTAGGAGTCGATTTTGGAGACATGGACATGCATTCTGTTTTCACGCCAAGCTCCGGAGCGACAATCATCAAAGCAGCAGAAGAAACTGGTACAGTCTTTGCCGTCCAGACATTCATACGCATAATCGTCGTCCTCGTGGTAGGGAGCAATATTGTTCATCTGCAGCAGAGATGTCCCTGGTCTGATGTTAACCATGCTGGGTTTCTACACAGAGGACCAGCAATGTCACTACAAAAGCAAATGCCAGAGCTGCTGCACAACACACTCAATTAACCGCAAACAAAAGTATAATGTAGCCTATTCTAATCTGAGCTATGAATAAGTCAGTAAGCTTTGCAGTAAGCTAATTAATTGTACATATCATTGATCAGCTAGGTGCTTGCATGTTCCGTGTTGTCTAAGCAACATAAATCTTAAAATGTTGTCATTATTTAATCATCCTCATGTGACTTTTTATTATTTTTATTTATTATACATTTATAAAGAATATCTGGCCATTCTTTTCAGTAAAATGAAAATAAATAGCAAAAACACCATACAGGTGTCAGAAAAGTGGTTGATATGATATCTTTGTTTGAGGAACAGACCAGAATTACACGATTCACAGAAAAGCTTAACATTTGAGCTATCCATAGCATTCTCAGAATAGAAGTAGCAATGAGCCATTCTTTTTTTTAAAGGGATCTGCTATGATTTGGTTCATCCGATTCGCATAAGTAGCCTGTATGATTTGCTTATGAATCACATAGATTCGGTCTCTTCACAAACCTGGTATTAATGTAACACACTAGTCACATGGACCCCTTTTATGATATTTTATGGTGTATTTGATCCTTTTAGAAGCTTAAAGGTGCTGAGTCCCATTCACTGTAATTATATAGAAAAGAGCACAGAATTTCTTATTTTGTTTTCCACAGAAATGTATACACATTTTGAATGACACGAATCTGAGTAAATAAAAGAATCGTGTTTTTTGGGTGAATTGGCCCTTTAATAACAGAATGAAGTTCATTCACCTGTGCATGGCTTGATTTGGTCTTCTTGTTCTGTCGATTGCTTGTGAAATAATGCAGGGTCCCGTATTCCATAAGAGCAGCAAAGGTAAAGATGAAGCAGACAGACACAAACAGATCCATGGCTGTCACGTACGACACCTTCGGCAAGGACTTCCTTGATATGGTGCTTAGGGTTGTCATGGTGAGCACAGTTGTGATACCTAAGCCAATCAAGATGCACAGTAATTGAGGACCCCCACTGAAGCATTTCCTTTTCATGATCACATGCACTTGTGTAATGCATTCACAAATCAAATGCTAATGATGTTCCTATTGATTAGTATTAATTCTGAAGCTTTTTAAATTACCTAAAGATGTTCTGGCAGGCACAGCATCCTTGTTAATCCAGAAAGAGACCCAGGACAAAACCACTATCATACTGCAGGGGATATAGGTCTGGATGGTGAAGTAGCCCATTCTCCGGCTTAGGTCAAAGAAAATGGTCATAACTACATATTCCCCTATTAATACAAGATATTAAGGCATTTTAGATATTTTTGACAGTAATTATGCATCAGCAAAGATATTATAATCAATGACTCCAGATATACTATTAATAAATAACAATAAGAAGATTAATAATAATAATAAACACTCATGTATTCTTACTTTTACTATTTATTATTATTAACAATAATATCTATTATTATTATTATTATTACTATTATTTTTATTATTACTATTACTATTACTAAGTATTATTATACTTATTTACTTATATTATAATCTATTATTATTGTTATTTTAAACGATAATAATAATTACTATTATTATTATTATTTAAAATAACACCATTTTATTATTAATAATATCTGCTCATTTATTATTATTATTAATTACCACAGATCTACTGATGTTATTAATCTTTGTAATATCATCAGTAGTAGTAGTAATAATAATAATGACACCTCAATCTACTAATGATAATCATTATTATTAATAATAATAAAACAACCACTCGTGTATTATTATTAACTTATATTATTTGAAGATTAACAATAATAATATCTGCTCATTTATTGTTGTAGTTATTATTATTAATTACTAAAAATCTGCCATTATTATTTATTCTCTTTTTTTATTATTTCTCATACCAGACTGAGTGTGTGCCACATCAGAAGTGTTCCGTAGACCCACAAAAGCAAATTGGTAAAGCCTCCAGTACCGCTGGTCTGCAACCTCAACCGAACGACGTTGCCATCTATACTGGATCTCATTCTTTGGATACCCATCTGCAAATAGACACAAAATCACATCCACCAGATTACATGTGAACTTTCATTTCGGTGTGTAAGTGATAAGAAGTTACAGTGATGGCAGAATGGCACTGAGGCTTCACACGGCAGCACTCTGTTAGACTAAAGCGCAGCATGCCCTTCCCGTGCCCACATACGATGATGACACATGAGAAGCTGAGGCATGATGCTAATAACGGATGGAGGGGTGACATTGACTGAGAAGAGGAGAGAGGGGATGGAGAGACAGCTGGAGAAGGATGATATCTGTCCTCACTCATTGCAAGGTTAGAGGATGGTAGTTGGTGCAGACCTTCTGCAATGTTAAGGTTTGGTGTTGACCGATATTGGCAATGCATGGTTGGCTGACAGAGGCAATGCATGGGGATTGGCTGCCTGGCAGCGTTCAGGACAGGACTGAGGCTGAGTGACAGATTGACATAAGAATTTAACACCTACAGCTTGAAAACTCCAGAGGGCACGAATGTTCATCCATGGGAAAGTTATGCAGCTTAAGGTAGCATTCCGCATTAATAGTCAACCTAACAAAAAAGAATCATAGACAATAGCAAAACAAACAAAAAAATGTTGATTGTGACATTTAAGAGGTAGTGCATTTGTGCAGGTGTTGATATCTGTGCTATGAACACACTCAGTCTGATTTAACAGTCCCTGACATAAATGTGAATCAGATGTAATGGCTTAAACATGCTGCAACGGACAGCGGGTGTCATTTGGTACAAAAGCAAATGCTACAGGACAGGAATACGAGGACACATACTTTTGTCATACAAACATTCACTCAGCTCTTAATTTTAACCGTGGACTCACCTTAGAGTATACATCACTCTTCCATTGCTCCAAAGCCGCAGAAGGCGATTGGGTGTCGTGATCCAGTGGGCGTCAGATTTACGTGAGTTGCGGAAAAAGGTGTCTGGGATCCAGATTTTTCCGACCATGTTACTGTTGAGCATGAGGAGTTTCATTGAGCTGTTAAATTTGAGTCTGCTGTCGTACCACGTCTGAGCAAAGAAGATGTCTATGGTGTACTCCTAAAAAAAACACCCAACAATGAGAGGTCTAGCCATAAAAGTTTACGGTTGCTTTTGTAACTGTGAAATGATGTGGGTATTGGTTGTGACAGTGGATTGGATGATTGTGAAATGGATCTAAACAATTGCGTAGAGTGTCTGTTTTTTTTACAGCTCTGAACGTAATGTATTATTGTACATTTCTGCTCACCATATTGATGGGATCTACTGGGCCAATGCTGTTCACGTACACCGCCGTCTCAATCACAGTTGGTCTCACTAGAATATAATTACAAACATTCAAATGACAATAATTGTCAATCATAACTATCAAATAAATAACAAAAAATAAAATACATAGTTATAATATCAAAACAATACAGTAAGTGATTTAATAAAAAATTTAATATACAAATGTTGATGTTCTATTATATTCATAAAATCAAAACTGACCATAGTTACTTAATGCACCTTTCAATTGTGCATCTTTCATTGGTGCACTGAATTATGGAATTATGGAAGCCGTTTCTGCCATTTATCCCAATTCCAAGTTTAAAATTTTAAGTTTACATCTCATAATTCTGTGTTTTTGTTTCCGCCACAATATAAAATATAAAAAAGATAATTGAGACTTTTTATTAAACAATTTTGACTTTTTTTCTCACAGTCGCAAGTTTATATCTTACAATTAGGACTTTTCTTCTCAGAATTGCACATTTTTATCTCGCAGTTGCAAGTTTACTGTATGTATCCCACATAATTCTGTGCTGGAATTGGGCTTCCATAGAAAAATGTGTTTGTCTTCATAAGCTTTAATCATTGATTAACTTTCTCTTTTTGCACACATTGTGGGCTATTGAATAATGTTAACCAATAGCCAGCTATTTTTAGCAAACTCAAATTCAGTCTGGCTCCACCCTGGTATGTAACCATCCAATCAATTCCTAATCAGTGGATACAATCGAATTTTGTCACTGAAAATCCTGTTTTGCGCAGAAATACATCTCATTACATAAGTGAAATGGGCTGCAAACCGATTCATGTTTCCTATAACAGCCACAAAAATTACTCAAAGCTGCCTGAATCCTCATCCTTGCAGTTTCATAAATATTTCTGTCGCAGTCAGTCACAGAGATGTGACAAATAACAAAATCTCGGCTAGTTGACCTGCAGTTCCTCAGCACTTGCTCTGCGCTCGGATTAACTGAGTTCTTCTCATACTTACACTCTCTCCCTCTATCTCAGACACATGAAACACAGATAAAGGAAAAAAGATCAATAGTGATTTGGGTCTATTGTACCCGAACACTCCCAAGATAAATCCTCTTAAATAACTGAACTCTACTCAGCTGCGTCGCTTCCAGAACACTGATGTACTGAGAATAAAGTGACCTGTACAGCTCTGGTGTAGAGAAAAACATCAGCAAAATCCTAAAGCCTAGCACTTCTTCATTTAACATTGTACTAATGCTGATGGTAAAGTAAAAATGATGATCACAGAGAAACTCTGAACTGCTTGGAGGGTTTAATTGTCACAGTGTGTTCCTCTTCATGTGGCTTCCTAATAATGATGGCATTATCTTATAATTATTAACATTTTTCAGTTACCCATAAGCTGTAACACTGTGTTTGAAGGTCATAAGGTGTGCACAGAGCCTGTGTCGGCCTGGATATAAGCATACAACCTTTTCAAAAAATGGACTTGCCTCCGATATCTGGTCTCAGTTTGTTGTCATAACCTTGCAGTAATTTGTTTAGGATAAGGGTGACGTCGCTCTCATAGACTTTTGGTGATAAAACCCAAGTTTTATTTATGGGGGCATCCTCGTAATCTTCCTCCTCTGCTTTGCTCAGGCCAAATGCCATGCTGTCATGAAAAACAGAAACAAAGAGAGGCATATATGAGCAGACAGACAGCAGTGAGGTAAATAATAGAGCAATATTAGACTTAAAATTGAGAGTAGTTAAAAGAGGAGTCAGTTAATATTAGGAGCTTAAACTCTAAAGAGCAAGCGACTGGTATGACAGACAGAGAGAGAAAGAGAGAATTTGTATGATGAGATTTACAGGAAGAACAAATAAAAGAAGTCATCAGATACTATAAATGTATGGGACCACCGTGACAGCAGGAGAGAGGAGTCTTTTAAATGAGTGCAATGCAGGAGGTTCTAATAAAAGAATGCAGTGATTTATGAAGATGTGTTCTGGCAGTGGAGGGAGGGAACAGCTGAAGGTGAGTGGTTTAAATTATCACCCACAACTTCCTCTCGCACTCGCTCTCTTGCAGTATATGGTGTAAAAGCTTCTAAATTTATTCTCTGGAGCATTATCTGTAGGAACAGACATATCGGGGATCACTTCTAACTGAAATGTGCGCCATTACAATACAGTCTAGACTAAGTCAAATGAAGGTGAAGCGCATTGAAGCTGCCGGCCATAAAAACTATAAGCGCAAAAGACCGCCTCTTGGGAAATTTGAAAAATATTCAAAACAAGATTCGGTTAGTCAGTAGCCACTACGTACCACAATTGTTAGGTACAGTGTATTTATTATTGTGTTCATTTTGCTTTGCAAAACACATTTGCTGTTATTGAGGTGGGATTTGGTTAAGGCTAGGGACAGGTTTGGTGGTATATGGTTAAGTTTAGGGTGGATTAAAGGGTCAACAGTATAATTATAGATATTATTTAATTACAGATTTATTTGCTGCAGGTATTTTTAATTGTAAGCATGATGTAAAACCTGCATGTACACAATAAGTGAATTGTATCAAATTATTAATTTAAATGTTAGTAAATAGTAGTTAATATAAATGGGGCCCTGAGATTCAAATGTCTATTTAATGCCTTATTTTATGAGAAAAAAGTTTAAATATATAAACCAAAATATAGCCAACTACAGTAGAATTACACTTGTTCGATTGTACTAGTGTACTGCCATTTATCTAGATGTGACATAAAATAATAAAACTGATCTGAATGGTCTAAAGATGTTTTTTTTAATAAGTACCCAGACAAACTAGTTAAAAAAATAATAAATGTGATTATATATTTGAGCTTTGTCTATAAACAAAAAATCTAAATGGTACATTCCCATACATATGCAAATACTCATATTCACACAAAAAAATCAATATGAAGCATCCCTGTGGATCCCATGTGGGTGGAGAGAATGTAGTTTATTGATTCCTGTAGGCACAGCACGGAGTGTTAAAAAGCAGGCTGTCAGTGGAAAATACAGACAGAATATTTTCCTCAAATGCAGTATTTTATATTGTCTGGACACAACAGTAGCCTCTGAATGACCTTTGTGGGCTAATAACCATGACAAACACACAGTTAGAAGACAAACAAAATGCCTTAATAAGAGGGGGAAAGCGTTTTTGATCATAGAGACACTTAGAAATGGTTATTGCCATCACTTTTTCACATAATGTAAGTAGCCTAAATGAGAGGAATGTAATATTACAAACCAAGTATGTTTATTCTATTAAGCATTTACATATGTGCATAGGCTATACGTTGAATGAGCTGCCAAAAAATGAGCAGAAGGAAACCCAAGTAGCGCGAGCCAACATAAGTGTAGACTACAATTTATGCATAACATTTACAACGTAGAAATTGTGAAATACCCTTCTGATCTTACTATGTGAGGATGCAAAATCTAATTCTCTCTGTGTGAGCATAGTTCGGGGTGCTGTTTGTTGAACTGTAACTGATTGCTGGCTAAAGTCTCAAGGTTGTTTGGAGACTTTTTTTTTTAGGTTGTTTGGAGATTGAGACTGACTGCACTTCCACGCTAAAAAAGACGACATCAACAGTCATATTGATTGCACCCCTTGTTTCTTTTGCCCCCTATGAAGCGAAAACTTACCAAACTCCAAGCAGACCGGGCAACAGCCAGACCAGCGTCTCTTTTCTCCGGCGGCGATGCAGCAGAACCATCGCGCGAACGCTCGGCTTGTAACCAAACGATCTCCGAAATGAATTAGAGCTTAAAGACGATCAAACCTTTGAGAGATTTAAGCGATTCTTAACACGGTAGTCGAAGGCGTCAGCGTATGCTGTCAGTTGTTGTCTAGACAAATGCATATAGCTTGAGCCTATGGTCTATATGTCCGGCAGCAGAGGCGGGTGGGTGTGAATGGTGAATGCGGGATTTCGCTGATTGCGGCACCGCTGCGTTCATCCAGCGTTCTGCTGAGTGAGACGCTCTCGATGTTCCGGGAGCTATTAGAAACTGCCTGTAGGAAAAGAGCTGACTGCTATACCTCAGAGAATTTACATCAAGCTGTGATTGATGAAACCTTTACTTAGTTTTGCTGTTTTCGGGGTTAATAAAGTGACAAATGCGACATTTTCAATGGCGCTGCACCAAAATGTGCAAAGTAGCCTACTGTTACCAAACTTAACCATAAAATGCATAAAGAGGGTAGAAATTAACTTATGAAATGTTTTTGATGGTGTGTAATTTCCTGTTAGTGTTTAACCAAAATTGATTGGTGTTTCGCCATCTATAAAACAGTTTGGCTGACTGATCTTAAAGACTGAGAACAGTCCACTGGTTTTGTTGTTGTTGTTTATAATAATTTTTATCATTTCAAATGTACGATGGCAGTATAGGCCCTACGTATGATTTGTCAATGTACGTCGAATTCTGATCCTATCCACCTTTTTCTTGCCGTAAAAATGGGCGCGGCCATTTGTACATTTTATGGGTCTAGTTTCCGGTCTCATCCGCGTCCAGCTGTACAAAACCGCTCCTTTTGCTGCTTGATATTGAAAATTGGTGTGTCTTACCATATTATTTTAATGTATTGTCTTAATTATGAACACACTGGTTTGTAGTGCAAACAGTTTTACCGTTTACTGCACGTTGTTATTCTTCTCTTTATTTCCCAACCGGATGTCTAACCCATAGGCTTACTTCCGCATTGAAGAAAAAGGAGCTTGAGCTGCATATGTTGCTATGGTAACCTCTTCGTCGCAGCATATTTGTGTTTTTATGGTGTTTTTGTGTAACTTTTGTGGTCACTGAATCGTTGTTTTAAAACCCAGTTGAAACGTGTTTATATGGCCTTCCCCTAACCTATATGTAAAAATAGATTTTGTATTGGTAAAAAAAATCCATTAGCCTATCTTACTTTTTTATTGTTTTTTAATGCTTATCAAATCCCCACGAGGATGTAAAACCTGAAATTTATGATGTTGTGGGGACATAATTTCGGTCCCCATGAAGAAACGGCTTATACTGTACATCATACACAATTAGGCCTATATGCTTTCTGAATGTTTACTGTACGGGTTTAGGGGATGGAATTTAACGTTTCTACAGTATAAAAATCATTGTCTGTGGAGTGTCATAAAACACAAATACTCAACCTGTGTGTGTGTGTGTGTGTGTGTGTGAGAGAGAGAGAGCGAGAGAGAGAGAGTGTGTGTGTGTGTGTGACTTGACTCGGGATGATCAACTGTGACTTGACTCGGGATGATCAACTGTGACTTGACTCGGGATGATCAACTGTGACTTGACTCGGGATGATCAACTGTGACTTGACTCGGGATGATCAACTGTGACTTGACTCGGGATGATCAACTGTGACTTGACTCGGGATGATCAACTGTGACTTGACTCGGGATGATCAACTGTGACTTGACTCGGGATGATCAACTGTGACTTGACTCGGGATGATCAACTGTGACTTGACTCGGGATGATCAACTGTGACTTGACTCGGGATGATCAACTGTGACTTGACTCGGGATGATCAACTGTGACTTGACTCGGGATGATCAACTGTGACTTGACTCGGGATGATCAACTGTGACTTGACTCGGGATGATCAACTGTGACTTGACTCGGGATGATCAACTGTGACTTGACTCGGGATGATCAACTGTGACTTGACTCGGGATGATCAACTGTGACTTGACTCGGGATGATCAACTGTGACTTGACTCGGGATGATCAACTGTGACTTGACTCGGGATGATCAACTGTGACTTGACTCGGGATGATCAACTGTGACTTGACTCGGGATGATCAACTGTGACTTGACTCGGGATGATCAACTGTGACTTGACTCGGGATGATCAACTGTGACTTGACTCGGGATGATCAACTGTGACTTGACTCGGGATGATCAACTGTGACTTGACTCGGGATGATCAACTGTGACTTGACTCGGGATGATCAACTGTGACTTGACTCGGGATGATCAACTGTGACTTGACTCGGGATGATCAACTGTGACTTGACTCGGGATGATCAACTGTGACTTGACTCGGGATGATCAACTGTGACTTGACTCGGGATGATCAACTGTGACTTGACTCGGGATGATCAACTGTGACTTGACTCGGGATGATCAACTGTGACTTGACTCGGGATGATCAACTGTGACTTGACTCGGGATGATCAACTGTGACTTGACTCGGGATGATCAACTGTGACTTGACTCGGGATGATCAACTGTGACTTGACTCGGGATGATCAACTGTGACTTGACTCGGGATGATCAACTGTGACTTGACTCGGGATGATCAACTGTGACTTGACTCGGGATGATCAACTGTGACTTGACTCATGAAGATCAGTTGTGACTTGCCTAGACTCAGGATAATAAACTGTGACTAGACTTGACTCATGATACTGAATTGTAACTTGACTAGACTCATGACTATCAGCTGTAACTTGACTAGACTCATGATAATAAACTGTTACTTGACCTGACTCATGATGATCCACCGTGACTTGACTAGATGCGGTTGTGTCCGCCATCTTGTGAGTGTGCTCTGCTGTCGCCGCCATCTTGTGAGCGTGCTCTAGTGTGGCTGCCATCTTGCGATCAGGCTCCGCTGCTGCCGCCATTTTGTGAGCGTGCTCTGGTACAGCCACCACTTCAGTCACACACATTGTGTCACGTTCTTCCTCCACGACACCCACAGTAAACAAAGATCCGACAGTCAAAGCATAATCCATGAACTGAGCGAGTGATGAACGTGGACCCTCGCGTCTAAGCTTAGCCCTCAGAGGTTGATTTATGCCATCGCAGAAAAACTCTATCAATAAACAGTC